TATATGTATATATATATATATACATATACATATATATAATTTTTTTTTTTTAAGAGACAGTAAGGGAGAGGGGGAGAGAGAGAAACATCAGTGAGTCATCGATCGGCCGCCTCCTGCTGGGGATCGAGCCCACAACCCGGGCACGTGCCCTGACCTGGAATCGAACCCCGATCTCCTGGTTCCTGGGATTTTTATCAGCCCTGAATTTTTATCAGCTATAAGTAAACCAGCCAATTATTAAGGGTAAGATAGAGACACACTCACCTGTCTATTAGACGTGCTCTCCGCGTTGCCTTTAGGGGCTGCCAGGGAGAAAAGAAAGAAGATATTAACACGGGCACCCCCTACGTTCAGCGAAAGGTTCGAGATGTTTCTTCAGGGTGGGGCCAGTATGACTTCAGGCCGATGTCGGCAACTAGCAAACGTGTTTCCGTGAGAAAAACGGGGAGAGCACAGACGATGAGCTGTGGGTGGCAACCGACGTGTGGTAAACGCTGTCTAACACGACACGAGCTCCCGCCAACGTCAGGGGCATGTTCGTTTTACCAAACACTCCAGAGGCGCGTCCGCGCAGGTGCAGACCGTCTCCCCCGTTTCCCAGTCGTTCCGGGAGGCGGCCCGGCCGGGAGTCCGGCGATGAGGCCCCAGGCGCCACACCAGGCCCTTCAAAACTTTTGCTTTTCTATTTAAGTCATGAGAAATGAACATGTTTGGCTCAAAATAAGTTTTCCCAGGGAAACGGGAGCTCGAGGGAGATTCGAGATTTGGCGTTTTCCGCTGCTTCACCGCTCGGCACTGGGAGGAAGAGCGGGAGGCGGAGACCGGCCGAGGCCCCAGCCGGCTGCTCCGTCCCAGGAGACCGCGCCCGGCCCACCGCCCGGGGCATGGTCAGCTCCCCTCGGCCGCGCAGGGCTCCTGGTGGCCCTCCCACTCCCGGCCCCTCGCCCTTCCCATCCCCAGCACCGAAACCCCCAGGCCGAGCAGACCAGGCCTCTCTCCTCCCACCCCCCAACCCCACCCTGCGCTGGAGTCTCAGTCCCGTGGTTTTAAGTATCTGTTGTTTCCTGATGGCTCCCAAGTGTCCCCAGCCCCAGTGTCCAGGGCGCACCTCCCTCCATTCAGTTTCCTGGCCACACCCCCATGACCTCGGGTCCGAGCTAAGCCCCTCACACTCCGCTGCCTCCCCCGGCCCCCACCCCCAGCCTCCCAGACCTCTCACCTCTCCTAAGCCTGGGCTCCCTCTCTGTACCCCGAGGTCCCCTTGGGGGGACGCTCCCTTGGGCACCACCTTTGAGTCTCAACTGGAGCGTCACCACGTGAGACACCTTCCTGCCCACCCGACATCCAGCCCTCACCCCGACCCCACGTGTCACCATCGCACCACCGACTTTCCGATTTACCGTATTGCTTGTTTCTACCCTAAGAGGTAAGCTCTAGGAGGACATGGGTTTTGTCTATTTTCTGTTACTTGGCCAATTTTTAGAGCAAGGAGGACTCAACAAATGTCTTTTCAACAAATCAATAGACAGAGGGCAGCGTTTTCACCCCAAACGCCGTGATTGATTGTCTGCGTCCAGCTACGCGATAATAAAATACCGAGGAGAGAGCAAAATCATTGTTTTCAAACCCTTCTTCTCTTGCTGGGTCAAAGAAACATGATCACATGAAAATTCAAAACACAAAGGTAGCGAGTAAATTGTAAAAATGTTACATAAATAGATAAACGGACTATTTTTTCAATTGCAGGTTTGAATGGTTCAATTATTGGGGTAATTGTAGCCACTTTGCTTCCCCTGAAATGATTACTTCACTAAAAACCTGGGCTTGGGGGCCACTGGTTCCAATTTAAACATTAGTGATACTTTGAATCCACTCTAAGCCGTGATACTTTGAATCCACTCTAAGCCAGTCTGGCTGTTTAACAATCGCCTCTTTTTCCTCGGTTTCTCTTAGGACAAGTCCCAGTCTCCCTGGTAACAGGAGGTAGTTGCAGGTTACAGGTAAGTTACAGCAGCAGAAGTTAGTGCTCTCAGGTGTTGAGGAGAAAAAGAACGCCCAGCAGCACAGATGAGAAGTCTGAATGTCATTAAGGACACCGGGTGCAGTATCTCATTCAAGGCACAGAAGCAAAAATCACTATTTAAAAGATACAAAAGGCAGGCCCAGTCCCGGCCCCGGCCAATCGCTGCCTCTCTGTCTCTGTCTCTGTCTCTCTGTCTCTGTCTCCCCCCCCCACACTCTCTCTGAAAAGCAGTGGGAAAAAATACCCTCAGGTGACGATTAAAAAAATAATAAAATAAATGAAAGATACAAAGGGCAGGAAAATAATGCTGTTCGTTAGTCACTTCAGTGGAACAGAATGTCCGTTGTCCCAATAAACCTGAGGCAACGCAGGTCCATGGAGAAAGGGGGGGGCTGTTCGCAGCCCCCAGAGCGCCCCACGTGGGGACGGGAGAGTTGACGTCATCGGTATCGAATGGTCCTGATTGTTTCCAGGTGACCTGGAGCGACACCCGGGAGGCAGCCTGCCTGGAAGCAATGCAGCGAGCCTGGCAATTTGGTTGAGAAAGATGATTTGGTCTAAAATGGATAATTCCTAGTGGCTGAGTTTCTGTGTAATGGTCACTGGGGGAACCGCGAGGCATGATGTAATCTCCTGGGACTTTTCTCCTGAATTCTTCAGCAGTATTTTCTCTTTTTGGCTTCAACATTTCCTAATAGTTTTTAGTTTTTTTTTTCTTTTTTGCATTTTTTGTCATAGTGAAAGTTTAGATCAAACTTTCCTATAATGTATCTTTGTTGCAATAACTGAAATGCAAAATCTTTTGTAACTGCTGAAAATACGTGGGATTGGAAAGTGTGTATGTGAAACGTCACAGTGCACAGGTGTAGCATAGAAATACAGGGCGTCCCCCCAAAATGCAGACACACTGAACCAGCCGACAGCTCGCCTTTGAAAATGAAACGTATTTTAATAAACACTGCTTTTATAATTATTCAAAGTGTGTATTACATTTGGGGGGGACACCCTGTATTTTCCGGATGAATATGTATCTGAAAATAATAGGTCATGAGCTATGTATGTTCTTGATTTGATTTCTCATATTTTTTAGAATGAAAAATGCGTTGTTACGTACTCACAAACACAAAGGGAAAGCAAAGAAAATGGTAACTGTTGGGTATTTAGAAAACCCCAACGAGTCCGCTCCTGAATACTTCGGTTTTCCTGACTTTTCACTGATTCAAATCACACGGGGGAGGAAAAGGCAGCTGACAATCAAACTGAAAACAATTTAACAAAGCAGGAAAAACCTTAGAAAAATTCTGCAGAGAAAATAAAAGGGTTCCAGGAACAACAAATTATGTACCCAAATGCCCGATGCTCATTTTTGAGAAAATTCCCACCTTTAACCAAGCCTAGCTAATTTTGGCACCGAGGGGGGGGGTGGTCATAGAGGATCCTCTCAGTTCCTAAGGAGGGAATAAAACCCAGGCACGTGGGCACATCCAGGCGGACCTGGCGAAGGCGCCTGGACCTCCTGCAGTGACTGACGCTCCTGGTGAGTGAGGACATCACCCAGAGAGACCCTGCCCCCCTCCGCTCTGCGCCCCCTTCCCGGGAACGGGCCGGTGCTCCCACCCTGCCTGCCCCTCGGGGTGCACGGAGGCCTGGGCCCTGTCGGGAGGCACCCCAGAAGCAAGAGGTCCCGCCTGCACCAAGTGCAGGGCTCTCCAGGTACAGCCAGGAGTTCCGAGGTCTGACCCCAACACCGAGGCCGACCCTGTGGGACCATGAAGGACTTGTCTTCACACGGGCCCCTCCCCCTCTGCGGACAGGTGACCTGCCGTTATTCATCCCCGTCACCTCGGACCTGGGGACCAGCACAGACACGGAGACCTCAGCCTTGG